ACATGTGACAAGGTGGCCGAGTGGTTAAGGCGATGGACTGCTAATCCATTGTGCTCTGCACGCATGGGTTCGAATCCCATCCTTGTCGATTTGCTCTTTTTAGAGTGAAATCTCGAGAAGCCATTTTTGATGTCACTGATTGTGGATTATATCACAAATTTAGCACCTTTAAGAAATGGAATGCTGAGAAACTACACTGCACTGTGATTGATCAAACGATTACCGTAATTCAGATGTGAGTTTGCTGAATCCTGAAGGTGAAACGCTATTACAGGTAGGAACACAGTTCCACACTGCCCACCAGGGATTATTTGTACGTCTATATGTCTGTCGCGCATAGCTACGACTTCGATTTGTCGTTCTCCACATGAAGGAGTTGCAATCTCGCTTGTTTAATTCACAAGTATATATATGGATATTGAATATTAATTGCGAAATCTGAAAATACGGCGCATTGGGAAATGCAAACGTTTATGTTCCAAAACAAAACTTACATTTTCATTTTTTTTAAATAAATCAAGCACAGGATTTGAACTTGGCACCCATTTAATGTTGTGATGGAAAAACAAGTCTCCTTAACACTTCTATTAATGTCAAACTCAATTACCAGGTAGTTACTTGCATTATTAACCCGTAATGCACTCATGCAGAATAATACCATAAAATCTCAATGAGGCACCACTGGGATTTTGAACCCAGGATCTCCTGTTTACTAGACAGGCGCTTTAACCAACTAAGCCATGGCGCCATATTCCTCTACGGGATTTGTTAAGTTCCAATCCCACTGGCAAATTCACAGAAACTCCATATAAAAATGTTGATGCATTTAAGAAATGTGATGCCTAGAAGAATATATTTTTGAGATTAGTTATGAATCAGGCAACATGTGACAAGGTGGCCGAGTGGTTAAGGCGATGGACTGCTAATCCATTGTGCTCTGCACGCATGGGTTCGAATCCCATCCTTGTCGATTTGCTCTTTTTAGAGTGAAATCTCGAGAAGCCATTTTGATGTCACTGATTGTGGATTATATCACAAATTTAGCACCTTTAAGAAATGGAATGCTGAGAAACTACACTGCACTGTGATTGATCAAACGATTACCGTAATTCAGATGTGAGTTTGCTGAATCCTGAAGGTGAAACGCTATTACAGGTAGGAACAACAGTTCCACACTGCCCACCAGGGATTATTTGTCCGTCTGTACGTCTGTGGCGCATAGCCACGCCCTCGATTTGTATTTCATAGAGCGCTTCGGGCGGGCTCAGCACCACGTGACGCGCCGCTTGCGCCACGTGACACAGATCGCACGAATGCGCTGTCCAACCAGGTTCCTACCTGCCCACTCCGAAGGAACGTGTTAATCCATCGTTCTCCACATGAATAGTTGCAATCGGCTTGTTTACTTCACAAGTATATATTTGGATATTGAATATTAATTGCGAAATCTCAAAATACGGTCGCATTGGGAAATGCAAACGTTTATGTTCCAAAACAAAAACTTACATTTTCAATTTCTAAAATAAATCAAGTAGGATTTGAACTTGGCACCCATTTAATGTTGTGATGGAAAAACAAGTCTCCTTAACACTTCTATTAAAGTCAAACTCAATTACCAGGTAGTTACTTGGATTATTAACCCGTAATGCACTCATGCACAATAATACCATAAAATATCTCAATGAGGCACCACTGGGATTTGAACCAGGATCTCCTGTTTACTAGACAGGCGCTTTACCAACTAAGCCATGGCGCCATATTCCTCTACGGAATTTGTTAAGTTTCCAATCCCACTGGCAAATTCACAGAAACTCCGATAAAAATGTTGATGCATTCAAGAAATGTGATGCCTAGAACGCATATATTTTTTTAGATTAGTTATTAATCATGGCAACATGTGACAAGGTGGCCGAGTGGTTAAGGCGATGGACTGCTAATCCATTGTGCTCTGCACGCATGGGTTCGAATCCCATCCTTGTCGATTTGCTCTTTTTAGAGTGAAATCTCGAGAAGCCATTTTTATGTCACTGATTGGGGATTATATCACAAATTTAGCACCTTTAAGAAATGGAATGCTGAAAAATAACACTGCACTGTGATTGATCAAACGATTACCGTAATTCAGATGTGAGTTTGCTGAATCCTGAAGGTGAAACGCTATTACAGGTAGGAACAACAGTTCCACACTGCCCACCAGGGATTATTTGTACGTCTGTATGTCTGTCGCGCATAGCTACGACCTCGATTTGTCGTTCTCACACATGAATAGTTGCAATCGGCTTGTTTAATTCACAAGTTATATAGGATATTGAATATTTAATTGCGAAATCTGAAAATACGGTCGCATTGGGAAATGCAAACGTTTATGTTCCAAAACAAAAACTTACATTTCAATTTTTTTAAATAAATCAAGCACAGGATTTGAACTTGGCACCCATTTAATGTTGTGATGGAAAAACAAGTCTCCTTAACACTTCTATTAATGTCAAACCAATTACCAGGTAGTTACTTGCATTATTAACCCGTAATGCACTCATGCAGAATAATACCATAAAATATCTCAATGAGCACCACTGGGATTGAACCCAGATCTCCTGTTTACTAGACAGGCGTTTACCAACTAAGCCATGGCGCCATATTCCTCTGCGGAATTTGTTAAGTTTCCAATCCACTGGCAATTCACAGAAATCCGATAAAAATGTTAATGCATTCAAGAAATGGATGCCTCGAACGCATATATTTTTGAGATTAGTTATTAATCATGGCACATGTGACAAGGTGGCCGAGTGGTTAAGGCGATGGACTGCTAATCCATTGTGCTCTGCACGCATGGGTTCGAATCCCATCCTTGTCGATTTGCTCTTTTAGAGTGAAATCTCGAGAAGCATTTTTATGTCACTGATTGGGATTATATCACAAATTTAGCACCTTTAAGAAATGGAATGCTGAAAATACACTGCACTGTGATTGATCAAACGAACCGTAATTCAGATGTGAGTTTGCTGAATCCTGAAGGTGAAACGCTATTACAGGTAGGAACAACAGTTCCACACTGCCCACCAGGGATTATTTGTACATCTGTATGTCTGTCGCGCATAGCTACGACCTCGATTTGTCGTTCTCCACAGAATAGGTTGCAATCGGCTTGTTTAATTCACAGTAGTATATATATGGATATTGAATATTAATTGCGAAATCTGAAATACGGTCGCATTGGAATGCAAACGTTATGTTCCAAAACAAAAACTTACATTTTCAATTTTTTTAAAAAAATCAAGCACAGGATTTGAACTTGCACCCATTAATGTTGTGATGGAAAACAAGTCTCCTTAAACACTTCTATTAATGTCAAACTCAATTACCAGGTATTACTTGCATTATTAACCCGTAATGCACTCATGCAGAATAATACCAATAAAATATCTCAATGAGGCACCACTGGATTTGAACCCAGGATCTCCTGTTTACTAGACAGGCGCTTTACCAACTAAGCCATGGCGCCATATTCCTCTGCGGAATTGTTAAGTTTCCAATCCCACTGGCAAATTCACAGAAACTCCGATAAAAATGTTGATGCATTCAAGAAATGTGATGCCTGAACGCATATATTTTTGAGATTAGTTATTAATCATGGCAACATGTGACAAGGTGGCCGAGTGGTTAAGGCGATGGACTGCTAATCCATTGTGCTCTGCACGCATGGGTTCGAATCCCATCCTTGTCGATTTGCTCTTTTTAGAGTGAAATCTCGAGAAGCCATTTTTGATGTCACTGATTGTGGATTATATCACAAATTTAGCACCTTTAAGAAATGGAATGCTGAGAAACTACACTGCACTGTGATTGATCAAACGATTACCGTAATTCAGATGTGAGTTTGCTGAATCCTGAAGGTGAAACGCTATTACAGGTAGGAACAACAGTTCCACACTGCCCACCAGGATTATTTGTCCGTCTGTACGTCTGTGGCGCATAGCCACGCCCTCGATTTGTATTTCATAGAGCGCTTCGGGCGGGCTCAGCACCACGTGACGCGCCGCTTGCGCCACGTGACACAGATCGCACGAATGCGCTGTCCAACCAGGTTCCTACCTGCCCACTCCGAAGGAACGTGTTAATCCATCGTTCTCCACATGAATAGTTGCAATCGGCTTGTTTACTTCACAAGTATATATTTGGATATTGAATATTAATTGCGAAATCTCAAAATACGGTCGCATTGGGAAATGCAAACGTTTATGTTCCAAAACAAAAACTTACATTTTCAATTTCTAAAATAAATCAAGTACAGGATTTGAACTTGGCACCCATTTAATGTTGTGATGGAAAAACAAGTCTCCTTAACACTTCTATTAAAGTCAAACTCAATTACCAGGTAGTTACTTGGATTATTAACCCGTAATGCACTCATGCACAATAATACCATAAAATATCTCAATGAGGCACCACTGGGATTTGAACCCAGGATCTCCTGTTTACTAGACAGGCGCTTTACCAACTAAGCCATGGCGCCATATTCCTCTACGGAATTTGTTAAGTTTCCAATCCCACTGGCAAATTCACAGAAACTCCGATAAAAATGTTGATGCATTCAAGAAATGTGATGCCTAGAACGCATATATTTTTGAGATTAGTTATTAATCATGGCAACATGTGACAAGGTGGCCGAGTGGTTAAGGCGATGGACTGCTAATCCATTGTGCTCTGCACGCATGGGTTCGAATCCCATCCTTGTCGATTTGCTCTTTTTAGAGTGAAATCTCGAGAAGCCATTTTTATGTCACTGATTGGGATTATATCACAAATTTAGCACCTTTAAGAAATGGAATGCTGAGAAATACACTGCACTGTGATTGATCAAACGATTACCGTAATTCAGATGTGAGTTTGCTGAATCCTGAAGGTGAAACGCTATTACAGGTAGGAACAACAGTTCCACACTGCCCACCAGGGATTATTTGTACATCTGTATGTCTGTCGCGCATAGCTACGACCTCGATTTGTCGTTCTCCACATGAATAGTTGCAATCGGCTTGTTTAATTCACAAGTATATATATGGATATTGAATATTAATTGCGAAATCTGAAAATACGGTCGCATTGGGAAATGCAAACGTTTATGTTCCAAAACAAAAACTTACATTTTCAATTTTTTAAATAAATCAAGCACAGGATTTGAACTTGGCACCCATTTAATGTTGTGATGGAAAAACAAGTCTCCTTAACACTTCTATTAATGTCAAACTCAATTACCAGGTAGTTACTTGCATTATTAACCCGTAATGCACTCATGCAGAATAATACCATAAAATATCTCAATGAGGCACCACTGGGATTTGAACCCAGGATCTCCTGTTTACTAGACAGGCGCTTTACCAACTAAGCCATGGCGCCATATTCCTCTGCGGAATTTGTTAAGTTTCCAATCCCACTGGCAAATTCACAGAAACTCCGATAAAAATGTTGATGCATTCAAGAAATGTGATGCCTCGAACGCATATATTTTTGAGATTAGTTATTAATCATGGCAACATGTGACAAGGTGGCCGAGTGGTTAAGGCGATGGACTGCTAATCCATTGTGCTCTGCACGCATGGGTTCGAATCCCATCCTTGTCGATTTGCTCTTTTTAGAGTGAAATCTCGAGAAGCCATTTTTGATGTCACTGATTGTGGATTATATCACAAATTTAGCACCTTTAAGAAATGGAATGCTGAAAAATAACACTGCACTGTGAATTGATCAAAC